CATGTTGTGTCAACCAAAATTATAATTGGGCAATTGAATAATTATTTTGTGTCAACCAAAATTATCATGCTGTGTCAACCAAAATTATCAACCATTTATTTTCTTAAATTGTTTCATTCCCATGTTAATCGATGAATAAATTCCAGTGAAGATAGTAGTTGAATTTAATTCAACAATATATAAGTTGACAGATATACATGTATTGCACTTTTGAGGGATGAAATGTTGAAGTCATGCTTTAATATTTAATGTTATGCAAATATATTTGCAATTATGGATGGTTTAAACTTAAATTATTGTTGTAAAAACTTTTGTACAAACATCCAAACATAATCCTCATCAGATGACCTACTATTAAAATCCTCGACATTTTTTTTTTACCCTTCACCTCCTTCTTCAGAGATTGGAGAGTTGGAGAAGGAGCAGGATCAATGATATTCTTCTTACTTCGGACAGGTAAAACAATTTTTCCCCTTTCCTTTATTCTTTCGAGCTATCATTTTTTTAGCCATTTAAAACCCTAAAACACCACAATACCACAACAAACTTCTGCGATTTACACCAATTTTAACCAAAAAAAGTGGAGTCAAGGTAACCAAACAAGCAAGGCTTTCAATAGAGAGAAGAAGATTGTTGTGTATTTAAAAGGACACAAAATTCGAGTGCTTCAATATGTACCAACCACCTCTGCAGCAATAAACCAACAATAATTCATATGAACACCCAAAAGGATCACCAAATTATCTGGAAATAAATTATAAGAATTGAAAGCATAGAACATAAGATTAAAAATTGAAACAATTTATGCGACCAGGCCTCTAATATAAAATGTTTGACTAACTAGAATGTTTCACCCATATAGCAGAATTACATGAAGTGGTGCAGAAGTTAGTCCAATGCCAACTTGAATAAATTTGCCTGAAAAAAAAAAAAAAAAAAAAGGAAGAGACGTAACGTATTTGTTAAACTCAAAATCAAGCTTTTATAGTATGTTATGTGTGGTTTAAAGTTTGGCCGTATCATCTAAATAAATGCGTAAGTAATTTTTGAAGGGCAAAGTAATAGAATCCAAAGACACCTTTTAAGTTATTTGCTTTTGCAAATACATATGTACTAGTCATCCCATTATGTACGTAGTTTCATTTTAAAGTTATAGAGAACATCCCAATAAATTTGTAAGTACCAAAGTTGTTGTATCCACACTTCTTCATACATAATTCACGTGTTGTCTAAAGCATTTTTAATTTTTACAGGACTAAAGTAATATAATCCAAATACACCTTTTAAGTTATAGGCTTATGCAATGCATATGTACAAATTATCCCAATATCTATGTAATCGTTTCATTTATAGGAAATATCCCAATAAATTTGAAATAACCAGAGTACTTACATTCACACTACTTCACATATAATTCACGTTTTTTCTTTAGTTTTTCCAATTTTTGCTGGGCAAAGTGATACAATCCAATTACACCTTTTAAGTTATAGGCTTTTGCAAATACATATGTACAAATTATCCTAATATTTATGTACATCATTTCATTCCAAAGTTTGGTTGTATCATCCCAATAAATTCGTAAGTAATTTTTGTAGGGCAAAGTAATAAAATCCAAATACACCTTTAAGTTATTTGCTTATGCAAATACATATGTACCAATCATCCCAATACTTTTATACCAACTTTTATTCCAAAGTTATATAGAACATCTCAATAAATTCGTAAGTACCTTTGCAAAAGCTTATAACTTAAAATGTGTCTTTGGATTCTATTACTTTGACTTCAAAAATTACTTACGCATTTACTAGGATGTTGCCTATAACTTTGGAACGAAATGATGTACATAATTATTGGGATGGTTTGTATATATGTATTCACATAAGCCTATAACTTAAAAGCTTTTTTAGGATGATACTATTACTTTGGTCCTTCAAAAATTGGAAATGCTTTAGACAACACGTCAATTATGTCTGAAGTAGTGCGGATGCAAGTACTCTGGTACTTACGAATTTATTAAGATGTTCTCTATAACTTTAGAAGAAACTACGTACATAAATATTGGGATGACTAGTACCTATGTATTTGTAAAGGGAAATAACTTAAAAGGTGTCTTTGGATTCTATTACTTTGCCCTTCAAAAATGACTTACACCTTTATTGGGATGTTAGCTATAACTTTGAAACGAAACGATGTGCATAATTATTGGGATGGTTTATACATATGTATTTGCATAAGCCCATAACTTAAAAAGTTTTTTAGGATGATTCTATTACTTTGGCCCTTCAAAAATTGGAAATACTTAAGACAACTCCTCAATTATATCTGAAGTAATGTAAATGCAAGTACTTTGTTACTTACAAATTTATTGGGATGTTCGCTACAACTTTAGAATGAAACTACGTACATAAATATTGGGATGATGGTACATATGCATTTGTATACGCCTATAACTTAAAAGGTGTATTTGGATTCTATTACTTTTCCCCTTCAAAAGCTTGCCATTTTACATACCATTGTAACTTGGAGACTTAGAGCATGACTATGTGTGTTACCATTGTTGGTTGTGCATGGAAGTTGTTTAAATTTCATTGTTACACCTGTGATTGTTGTGACAACTTGTTGATTTTGGATATACTTGGGGCAAATAAAACGTGACATGGCTAGGGTTTGGCCCTAATACGGGAGATACGAGTTCTCCCTACAATATAGTACGCACTTAAGTAGTTCCTTAAGGGTTAATGCCCTAAAACAACTTGTATTGTCTTATGTTGTGAGCTCACAACCTTGTCTTGTGTTGTTGAGCTCACACCGGACGCCGCCTCTAAGTTTTTCCACTTGGTATGATTTCGCATTTATTTTATAAGTTGATATAACTTAGGATTATAACTTGTTGTATATCTTGGATTATCCCATTGTATTTGATTTTTATACCTATTGTTGATTGCTTTCAATGTATTTCAATCATAGCTTAGGATGTTGCCTTAGCTCACCCTTTAAATGTAGATGTTAAGAAGTATGATCCATTGAGTACGGTTTAAATTATGCATGCGAAGGCCATTAAGACTATAGGGTATATGTATACTCATTTCCTACGAGTAACTTGTTTACTCCCCCTAGTTATTTGGGATATTTTTTAGGTAAGGATGCCTTGTTTTGGGATGCACAACATCCCTAGGTTGGCTTGGTTGTATTGTCGTCCTTTCATGTAATCAGCGATCGATCGCCAAACAGTTTTGTTAAGTTTTATGTAAAACTTCGAGGTTTCATATCTTCTTCATCCAGACTCCAAATCAAGTGATTCTTGAGTCTAACTTTGTTAATTTTTCGTTATCTTTCCAATAGTGTGCATGATATAACCCACTTTTGTTTTGAAAAGACCATTTTACCCCTAGGGTTGTACTTACCCGTTTTCCAAACTTAACTACTTTTGTGTATAAGTTATATATAACATCACAATATATTCGTACTGAAGAGAATGTCTGAATACACTACTTCTAATTTAATTAAAGTCTTATCTATAGTGTTTTCAATTTTTTAGAGGCAAAAGAATATATTTCACATATAACTTTTAACTCATAAACTTATGCAGATACATTTGTACAAATCATCACTACTTTTATTTCATTACTTTCATGTCTAAGTTATATATAACATTACAATATTTTCGTAGTGAAGAGAGTGTTTGAATCCAAAGTACTTCTAATTTAATTAAAGTATTATCTATAGTGTTTCTAATTTTTAAAGGGTAAAATCATATATTTCAAATATAACTTTTAACTCATAGGTTTATGCAAATACATTTGTACAAATCATCATGGCCTTTATTTAATTGTTTTCGGGCCTAAGTTATATATAACATCCCAATATATTTGTACTGAAGAGAGTGTCTGAATCCACACTACTTCTAATTTAATTAAAATCTTGTTACCAATTTTTTTGGGGCAAAATAATATATTTCAAATATAATTTTTAACTCATAAGCTTATGCAAATACATTTGTATAAATCATCACGACCTTTATTAAATTACTTTCATGTCTAAGTTATATATAACATCACAATATATTTGTAGTGAAGAGGGTGTGTACTTCTAATTTAATTAAAGTATTGTCTATATTGTTTCTAATTTTTGAGGGGTAAAATTATATATTTCAAATAAAACTTTTAACTCATAGGTTTATGCTAATACATTTATACAAATAATCACGAAATTTATTTAATTACTTTCGGGCCTAACTTATATAACATCACAATATATTCGTATTGAAGAGAGTGTCGGAATCCACACTACTTCTAATTTTTTTAAATTCTTATCTATAGTGTTTCCAATTTTTGAGGGGCATTTAGAAATATATATATATATACATATATTGAGGGGCAAAATAATATATTTCAAATATAACTTTTAATTCATAAGCTTATGCAAATACATTTGTACAAATTATCACGACCTTTATTTAATTGCTTTCGTGCCTAAATTATATATAACATCCCAATAAATGTAATTTGTGTCAATCAATGGTCATACAATAAATCCCATGAATAATTGTAACAGAATCACCATTTATTTCTCCTTCAAAAAATCATCTTTGATTTTTTATTTTGAACACATTTAATTATTCATCATGGAAAATATGTATCCCATAAAATATATAATATGTGTCAAATTATAGTTAATATAATCCCAACGATAACCTAAAATGAATCATCTTTTATTTCACGTCAACACAAGAACATCATGGAGATATATACATCCCAAAATTAAATGTAATATGTGACAATCAAATATCATAAAATAAATCCCAACAAAATTGTAGAAATAATCATCCCTTATTTCACTTGAACACAGTTTATAGTCCTCGTGGATAAAACACACATCCCAAATAAAAACACATTTAATTACATTTTAAGAAGACAAATTAAATCAATCTTAATATAAAACATACATTCCAAATTAAAACTAAAGTGTGTGAAATTGTAATTATTCATTAAATTCCCAACATAAACCAAGAATGAATGATCTTCACTAGAACACATTAATATGAATAGAATACATCCCAAGTTAAAAATTATTTGTTCTTTGTATCATAACATAATTGTATAATAAAATTTTCAATTATACGTAAATAAATAAATAAATATACATGGCATAAATGCCAACTTGTACATGAATAATTTCCTATTGTAGCTCAACTCCATTTGTACACAGGAATGCCAACCATCTAGTGTCGTTGTAGACAATCTAATCTACCTGCAATCACAACAATTTAATTTGCAATTTAAATTTAAAAATTATAAATTTTTAGAACTCTTAATATAAGCTTAGAATCTTAGTTACCGTACCACCCATTATAAACTTTGCATAATCATTCCTAGACTCAAAACAATGTTGGAGGTACATATGCCCATCTCCGATTAAATTTTTTGGCCCCTCAAGTCCAAGTATTTGCTCTATTGCACCGTAACATTCCCATATCGTCGTCCATTTAAAATCTAAAATGGTTAGCTATCAAAACTAATACCCATGAATATGATACACACACACACACACCAAACTGAGCATATAAAGATCCTTTTGTTGGTAACTAACAACAAATGATATACCTGAAATTAATGTGGTCCATGTTAATAGAATATTTTAAAAGGGATAGACATTGATCATAAAAATACCTAATATTTAACATTATTTGCACAAAAAAAAAATACAAGATAAAAGAATATTGAATCGAGACAATTGAACATAGTATAGCAAAAAAATCATGATTATAAACTACACATAAGATAAAGGAAAGAGTCAATATTTTCAATTTATAGTACTGGAAATTCAAAATACCCAAGTTTTTAATACATCGAGATATAAATCAAAATATGGTATGAGAGACATGTAACAAAAATCATCATAGATAGAATCAAACACTAACATAAATAAATATAAATATGATAAGTAAACCTAAGAAATCAAACACATGCAAAAGAAATCAAAATATGAAATACAAATTAATGCACGCAATAGAAGTCAAAGGTGGCATGAAAGGAACATGAAGTTAATATTACTTTCACCAATTAACTAATTTTGTTGCTTCATACGAATGCGTACAACAATGAACACATTAATTTTAGAATTAAAAAAAAAAATTAAAAAAAATTAAAAAAAAAAATGTGAAAAAAGAAAATAAATGGTAACTAATACAGAGTTAATATTACATTCGGCAATTAACTATAAAAATTTGCATAAAAATGCAAACAAGAATGAACACTTCAATTTTAAAATTGAAAAAAAAAAAAAAAAGAGTAAGAAAACTATTTCTTTGGACTTTTTTTTGACAGACTTAGTTTTTTGCAAAAGAATTATCTTAAAAAATATATATTAAATAAGGGAACTTGTTTACCTATGTTGATAACATATATATTCTCTCCAATTCTATATACATGAAGCCACTGATATAACATTTACCAAATAAATTAAAATAATGATAGTAATAGTAATAATAATAATAATAATGCCACCATCAATCGTATTATAAATCAAATAATAAAACCTTAAGCAAAGAAAGTGACAAATTTGTTATCCAGAGTAAAGTATAAAATTTTGGTGCATATATTAGTCTTGCTCTAAACGCTTAAAAAAGAAATGATTGAAGAATTGAAACAATATATATACATCCAATACTAGCAGTGCCTATAGGATATAGGCCCCAAAATTAAATTTTATGTGAATTAGCTCTCAAACTTAAAATCAACTCATTAAACAAAACTAATGCAATGCAACCAGTATACAAATTAAAAAATAAATAATAAAAATAGAAGGAAGTTGGAAATATAAATACAATCTTAATTGGTTTACAACATATGGTCAAACAAGTCATTCAGTACATATTTTTCTAATAAAATTAATTCTATGAGTAATTGAATGATAACACTTTTATCCTTCCTTGACGGCTGAGAAAGCTTACCCAAAGAAATCAAATAACAGTACTAACTTGCTGATATATTTTTCCTTTCACTAGAAAACCAAAGAATTAGGAATTGAAAGAAATTTAGATTTCCTTTTTATAATCTTTGTACTGGTTTCTCAGTAACCAAATGAAGTTGCTAACTAAATATAAGATTGAAAAAGAAAGATAAAAATATAATGTGAAAGAAACAAGAGAAGTTTAGCCTTTAAATTGCCATTAAAGGGCTGAGTAGCAGTAGTCATATCTTACTGCAAACCACTGAACTAAATAATCAAATGATGATATGATTGCAAATGTTGAATGTTACAATATTGAATTTTTAATTATTAAATTAAGGAACAAGACCTAGAGAGCAACTACAACCGAAAGAGGGCTAAACATAGATAAATTTAATCCCACAATGAAAATTAAGGTTCTCTTTAAAAAAAGGTTATATATGCCTACCATGTGCCATGATTTCCAAGCACCTAAAAATCTCTTCGAACATTCATCCTTACCATAAGTGAAAATCATGAGTCTCTAATCGACTTGCTAAAATTATTATTGGAATAGTATTCTTAAGGCACTTTCTATTATTATGAACATTAGACCAGTTTCTACATTTAAGCAACATAAATAACAACCCAGCACTACTAGCCTATGATTTCAATTTATGTGATAGAACTAAAAAAAAGTCGAAGAGTGATCGTTTTTCTACCTTGGAGCTAGATTTAGATTTATTTCCATTGTGACTTGAAACTGATGCCTTTGCTCGTTTCTTCGTTGCCCCTGTCATAACTTCAAAATTGTTGGAAGATCGTTTTATGATATTGAAGAGGCGTTTCCTGCATCAAAACAGCAAAATGTCAATAGAGGGATGAAACCATAGAATACCGCAACACATGGGAAAAAAGCAAGAAACAATTTGGCCATAGTTGGCAAAACTCCAGAAACCCTAATGCAAGACTTTTGTGCTTAGTTTTTTGACACCTCAATTTTAGTTGAAAATCAACCCATTTTTTTTTTTTTGGTTTCGGTCTTTTGCCCCAATGAAAGGCAGTGTTATTGTTCATTTGTACAACACAGTCCGGATTTATATAGAAAATGTGGGGAGCTTATTAATGTTTCCTTGAATCATTCAATATTTCTTTTTTAAATTTTTTTTTAGTCCCATTTACCCAATATAAATCAAGAATTTACCTGGTGACACACACAACAACATAATTTGGGGTTTCAGACTCCATCTAACACATTTCCCACAGTTTAGCTCTCTTGCTTCATATTCGAGTTAGCTCAAATAAAAAATTTAAAATTTGTGATACATACCCTTCACTAAGAAATTATGCTGAGAATCTGTGGAAGTCATCGAAGGAAACTGAGTTTCGTGTCTATTAAAGAATCTACTGCGACTTCAAACCCGAACTCAGCGTCTCCGTCGAAAACGGAAGCATCAAATTCACAACATTCTCACACGAGCCACCAAAATCACATTAACCCTACTTTTCGTCAATACCAGACGATGCAAAGCAATTGAATTTCTAGCCTAGGCCTTCAATTCTCCGTAGAAACTATCAATCAGGGTGGAGCTCAAAATTACAAAATTCCAGATCGAAGAAATAATGACAGATATGGGAGAAAAATTGTCTCATGTGTATGTGCTGGTTGCCTTTGATGGCCGGCCACCATCTGAAGAGAAGAGAGAGAATTAGGGCGATGACCCTACTTTTCATCAATACCAAACAATGCAAAGCAATTGAATTTCTAGCCTAGGCCTTCAATTCTCCGCAGAAAGTATCAATCGGGTGAAGGTCAAAATCACAAAATTCCAGATCGAAGAAAGAATGACAGAGATGGAAGAAAAATCTGTGTAGGTGCTGGTTGCCTTTGATAGCCCGCCACCATCTGAACAGGAGAGAGAGAATTAGGGCGATGTTGGTGATTGAAGGAGAAGAGCCGTATGCAGTTCAAATTTTAGATTGTTTAAAAATAAATAAATGAAACGTATAAAGTATAAAATTTCTTTTTTTATTTGGTATAAAGTATAAAATTTCTTTCCATACTTGTATAGAAGTATTCAGTAACTTTTTTTTTTTACTCAAGTGATTTTAAGTGATGTGGCGCATTTTGAACTAATCTCTCACCGGCCGGAAACAGGACGCTGTTCCACTGGAGACGTCCATGTTTGATAGCACTTGAACAATTGAATACACAATATATTTGTTGCACAAAAATAAAAATAATATTCTCCCGGTCCCCCAAAATGTGGGGAAAAAATCGTCTCCAAGTCGCTTCTCGCCGGAGGCTGTCCTTAGAGGGTTAAATTAGTAACATGGCCCTTTTAATAAAAAAAAAAGGTATTTACTTTGTAGGTGTATATACATACATACATATGTATCTATACAAGAATTTATACCAAATGAAATTCAAATTCCCTTCAAAATATAAAACTGATTTCCCCCCAAAATTTTATTCTATATCTTATTGATATTTCATTATTTCACTCAAGGTCTCTCTCCCTCTTAAATTGAAGTAAGCACCATACATTCTCGAAAACAATGGAGCTTAGCCAGAAACAAGGGAGCACCATCATTAACTTCGCCAGACATTAATGATGTGAATGAAGCTTGGCTGGAAACAATGGAGGTTGCTGGGTCTGGTTTAGTTGGTTCTGTTCGCCGATGTTGGGAGGCTCGTTGACGGACTGAAACTACAGCAGAGAGCTTATGATTTGGTCACTGTTCTTCTTTCAATCTCAAGTTCGATCAGAGGAAAACTACAATCTTACTCTCCCAGAAACCATATGGAAGCTCTCCTAGCCTTGAAGGACTAGGAATATAATCCTTTTTCTCGTCCGCCTCCAAGACCGCTGGATGGCATCAATTGAGGGAGACGACAAAAAGAGTCGACAGAAAAGAGGGAGAACAGGTGGGGTTTGCTTTAACCATGGGATTTGTTCAGATCTTCTCGTTTTTGAGTTGACGTGTTGTAGATAAGTGCTTTGAAATATCAAGCACAGTATCGGGTTGAGTCATTTAGACTCTTGGGTTCGGTCATTGACCTTGTTGTTTCTTTTGGGCCACTGCCTTTTGTTCCAGCACAAGCTGGACTTCTTTGTAATTATGTTTACATAAATACATTTGCTTAACATTCTTAAAAAAAAAAAAAAAAAAAGTTTCTGGGTCATCGAATAGAAATCGGCGTTGATTCTGAATGCTATTATTTGATTTTTTTTTTTTTTTTTGGGTCGGTAGTTTGATGCTGATATTGTAGGGAGATATGGGGAGGGTGGCTTATGGATTTGAAATTTTTATTTTTTTGTATTTTTTTGTATTTTTTGATTGAATTGTTGATACCAACTAATTGAGGCAAGATTTGGGGGGGGTGAATGTTTTGAGGCTTGTTGTTTTGTATATGGAATGATTGCACAAAATTTGTTTTTTATTATAATTACACAAAATTTTAATATAATGCATATACACAAAAATTTCCTTTGGTAAATAGCAAAAATTTGGTTTTTTTTTGGAATGTAATTACCCAAAATTTTAATTTGTCAAAGATTGAGATATATAATGCATATACACAAAATTTTCTTTGGTGATGACAGTTTTTAAATAAGTAGAAAAAGGTGAAAAAATAATAACATGCTAAACAAACATATCTTGAACAAACATTTAATTATGTAATATTAAACAAACATATCTTGAAAACATCACAACTTTAAAGTATAATGTTTCAAAAATCAATTATATGATACATCTTAACTTAATTGTAGCATATATCATTTATGAACTTTATAATACAACAATAATATAAAAAGGAATAGGATAAAATAAATCCATCAACTTTCTTTTATGAATGGAAGATTATCCCATTGCCAAAAGTGAAAACATGTTACACAACTTAAGCTTAACATGTTTCAAACGTAAATTATATCTAGCACCACAAATTACTTGTAACACGTATCACTTATTATATAAATTAATGTCTAAAACATAATGAATATTTACCTATATATATCTTGATTTAAAATTGCTATTTTACTTCATTGTTGGCAAAATAGATTTTTTTTTTTTTTTTTTTTTTCAAAATCAAATTTTATTAATCGACAACCGAAGGGAAGACGATACTTTGTAAAGTATATTTTTGATATGTGTTATGAAAATATTCTGATACAATATTCAATTCATATATGATACATATTGTAAGAACTTGTAATTCTTATTTATTGTAATCTAAAATTCTAAATTTATTTTTGATATGTGTTATGAAAATATATTGATACAATATTCAATTCATACATGATACATGTTGTAAGAACTTGTGATTCTTATTTTTTGTAATCTAAAATTCTAAATTTACCTATCCATCATGCATCTAAAATTGTCGTGATTCTAAATCTGTTATTTTGTAGATAGAATGATTGTATAAAAATTATTTATTTTTGGAATGTAATTACACAAAATTTTAATTTGTAAAAAGATTGAGATATATAATGCATATACACAAAATTTCCTTTGGTAATGACAGTTTTTAGATAAGTAACAATAAATGAAAAAATAATAACATGCTATTTAGACCTATTTTTCAGTAAATAAGTTTTTATCTCATATTTCATCCCAAATTTTGATCACTCATCTTTAAATTCAAGATCATTATCCATTAATTACCAAACCAAAATCATTTCTAATGGTGAGTATACATGAGAGTATACATCATTATCGCTAATTGATCTAGCGGTCAAAATAGGGCCACGACAATTAAAAAAAGGAAATCATTTTTCAGTTAAATGAAAAAAATAGGGAAATAATGCCTAGCCAAACACTGCCTTAACGATCCAAACCCAATTCTCTCTCCCCTATCTTTCTTCCCCAAATCTGGTTCTCTCATTTGTGTCTCTCTCCAACTATGCGAAGAAGAAACCATGGGTTTTCTGTGGTCACCATCCTTTATTAGACAAATCAATTCCACTTTAAAACATGTGTGTATATATATTTATGGGAATAGGAGGAAACATAAAATCAATTGAAATCAATTCCATTATCTTACCTAGTCAATTCCATTACCGACATGAGGATGAAGGTATTTGGTGTTGGTGAAAAATTAGAGAAGGATGAAGGAAGAAGAAGAGAACAGAAGCATGAAGAAGATGAACAAAAGAGAAGAAGTAAAAGTTAATTTGGTTTTTATTGAATTTGGTCCCACGTATAACTGAATAAAATACTTCTGTATACAAGGTATTTGAATATGGTAAAATAAAATTGAGTTTAATAACTTTTTTAATTCATATGCTGAGTTGGCGCTTACTGGGTAATGACAAAGCAATGACTAGGCAACTCTAGGTGACATGGCTTCATCACAGCCATTGGATCCTTCAGGGACAACCTCCAGTGAGAGGTACCATGGAGAGGATTTCTGCCCCAAAATGTGCCCCTTTTTGGAACCTAATTCTATAAAAAAGTAATTTTTAATTTTTTATTTATTATTATAATGGTATTGAATGAATACTCTTCTATGATAGGTCCTATGCTTTAATAACTTTAAAGCAATGAGGGTAAATTAAGAATACTTGAAATGAAACATTATTTTGGGATAACCAAAAATGAAAAGGTTGACATTTTTTGGAAGACCTCCTTTAAGACCCTTTTGGAGACAATTGCACTCATGTAGGATTCACGGGTATGAATACCTACTTTAAGTTACCTTTCGTGACCACGGGAGGGGAATAATTTTTAAAAAATGTTATATATGATGTCTAATAAGTAATAACTACCTAATTAATATTTATGAAGAAGGAAAATGTTTTTGAAGGACAGTTGTATCTTATCATTTTTTTGAAAAATGTTAGTCCAAATATCATTTACCTAATGTATGTGTAATACCAAAATGAGCATGAGGAGTTATTGTTTGATGCATTGGTCATTGGTCAAAGCTCTAGCATGCTGATACATAAATATTTTTCTGGGATGTCAGAAGTGAGAGGTCTATTTCCTCTCATTTTCTTCTGAAACTCATCCATGTATGGTTTAAGTGTTCAAACTTCAGGCTCAATGGGTCATATACACATTTTACAGATTTTTATATACATTTGTTATATGGTTCAAAAAGTGACTAACTTTCATCCAAACCTCAAAGAGTTTAATTAACTTTTTTTTTTTTAATTAACTAAAATTATTCCATTATAATCTAAGAATATTTTTTCTCAAATAAATTTTATATTTAGAATGACAAGAGTTACAGTATTTTCTACAATACAATCAGATTTTTATTCATTGAAAAGTTCCCATATGAAGATAAAAAAGTTGATAGCTAAGATAAAAAAGTTGATAGCTAAGATTGCGCCTAAGAGTTTAAGCAAATGGATAATTTTAGAATTTTATCAAAAACGAAACTCTTAATTATAAAGTCATTTGATGGACCGTTTGTGGACTAATAAAAATATTTAAAAATAGAATCATGTCTAATACTTTTTAATACAAGGATCAATGTCAAAAATGATACAAAATTATGGAATTTAATTAGAAAAATTCTATATTTTTTTCTCTAATAATTTTAATAAATTTCAAACCTATTATTAACGGATAAAATAATAAAACATATCATAAAACTTTTTTAAAAAACTCACACACATTTCGTGTACGCATGAATTAAATGAACAACCAAAGTTCAAATCAGTGTGACTTGGCATAAACAATTGTATCTAATTTATATAAATCAAGTTTTGGATCAAAATTCAACTCCCTACTCAGTCAGTCCATCCCGAAACGGACGCTTTGGAATCGTGATTGATGATATAAATATATTACTGCTTACCATATATATATAAATATATATTATGAATATAGTATTATAATATGACTACATATTACGAACATTTGGGGAAAGTGTTTTCACTCACACGTGGCGTGATACTGTGGCTGTCCACATCATCATCTCCCTACCTTGTATGTGTTTGTATATATAAATATGTATATATGTACAGACACATATATCAGAAAGCGCATAATCTATTTTATTCTCAAAGCGCCATATTCTGTAATATAACGGTAAACCCATGTTATGGTTTTCTCTCTCTTGTTACCAATACATTCTCAGCTCTCCCACTCTGGGTCATATATAACATAAGCATATACACATATAATTACATATATATATATAAGCATATACAAATACGTAGTGGACGAAAATGAAGCTACGCAAGGCTATGGTGTTGTCGCTGATAGTTACATTTTTTGCCCCCATTGTTCTCTACACTGACAGCCTCGGAAGCAGTAATATATTCTCCCCCTGTAAATATATACTACGTATTTGAGTGAGACACTGTGTGCATATATATACATATATATGAAGTTAGGTTAGATGTTTATTTTATTTTTCTTTTCTCTAACAAAGTGATTTGGATTTTATGCAGCTAGAAATGAATTCATAGAAGAGGTTTCAGCTATTGTGAGTTCATTATCTACCTGAAATTTTCATTTAATTGGGCTTAATCCGAATTTTTAAAAGTTTTGATCTTTTGCATTCTATGTGCAGACATTTGGTGGAGAAATTAAGCCACATAATCTGCCTCACCAGGTACATATATATACATACATATCGCAATTGGCTTTGTTTTTGGTCTTTTACATATTTCATTTTTTAGTGAAACTTGAGATCAATAAAATTCCAATTTTTTAATTTGTATATATGTATATATATGATGGGTAGGAATCATCCACAACTCTAAAGAATAACCTTTTGGATACTGATGCTTCTACAGGAGCGAATTCCCGCAAAATTAGACAGCTCGATCAAGGTTGATTTATTTTTCTTTGGTCTTGCATTGATTGGAAATAATGTTGTATTTGCTGTGCAAGTATGAAATTTGTTACTGGATATCAATAAAATTGAGCCAAAGCTTTTCTTTTTCTTTTTTTTATTTAAAAAAAAAAATTATTGTGTTTTGTTGATGATTCAAAACTGTATTTGGTGTGGAAATATAAAATTTGTTACTGGATGTCAATGAAATTGAGCTGAAAGCCTCACTTTTTTTTTCCCTAGTGTTTTTTTTTTTTTTTTAGAAAAATTAAAAATCTTGTGTTTGTTAATGATTCAAAACTGCAAATGGCAGAATCAATGGAGCACAAGACCACGGTATCAACCACGAGCAGTGGCAGTGGAGATGGTCATCAGGTAGACGAAAACCCCATCAGACAGGCGATTGAAGGAGTGCATGAAGCAAATCAGCCTGACATTATCTCGAATAAACATGAATCAACAAGTGAAAAGAAAAGAGAGGAAGAACAAGGTGATAAGGAGATATTGAGGGCATCTGAGAATACATCCAATATTGCCACTGAAAATTTGGTAAATTATGCTTTTCCTCATATATATTTTTTTTCATGGACTTAATTGGATTTTGGTATAGAAACCTGGAATTAATAAATATGGGCAATCCTGTGCCAAATCCTATTTTCCAATAAAACAAAAACTAAGGTTCATAAAGTGATACTTGTAGAAAATTTTGACTTTTTGCACTGTCAATTTCACTCCGGTTGAGAATGTGCCAACATTTAGAAGTCATTTCTCAGCTCCATTTTAGATCCGGAATACATTTATGGATCCCATTGTGCCTCTAGATTATTTTTATTACGATATAAATATTTTTCCTTGACATGGTTGAGTTTGTTCTTTGTTTTAGGGGCTTTCACCATTATTCTAATAATGTTTTAACTTTTATCATTTCTAGTCAATTCTAATGTACTAACTTATTCTTTTGAAATTATATAAAAAAAATTGGATTAGTAATCTCTGCGTTTAATTGTTTTAGCAGAAATCCTTTTTGTTTGATCTTTTGTCATGCATCATCTCTTGCTGAACTATGTACTCCATTTTAAGGATGATTAACAGAAACATTGACCAGTTGTTCTTAGATGAGATGAGATGAGATTGAATGCACGTGGACATAATTTTCTATTTCCTTTTGTTATCCTCTGGATCCAGGAAATAAAACCTGAGACACAGTCTGCTCAAATGTCTACGAATGTTGGCATGAGTGAACCTACAAAGACTAAAACCAAGTACCAAACCGACCAAACACTTACGACAAAATCTCTTGTTCGGCATCTTAAAGATCAGCTTATCAGGGGAAAGGTGTACCTTTCTCTTGCAGCTAAGAAAAACAATCCTCAACTTATAGGGGAGCTCCAACTACGTATGAAGGAAACTCAAAGGGCACTTGGCGATGCAATCAGGGAGTCTAAGCTACCAAAAAAGTTAGTATTCCCTTTAAATATATTATAAAACCTTTAGATATATTATTATTGCTATCTGTTTATAACATATTCTGAGCATCATATAGCTAGCCGATATTCTTGTTAGGTTTTTTTTATTCCATAAGCGATGATGTAAAATCTCGTGCTTCAAGTTCTCATCTAATTTTCCATTTCCTTTTATTCCAATCAATAAGTACGAGTTGCAATATAAATGCAGTGCCCATAAGAAATTGAAGGCAATGGAGCAAACATTAGCCAAAGGCAAGCAAATTCAAGACGACCACACTGAAGTAGTAAAAAAGCTGCGTGCTATGATGCATTCGGCAGAAGAGCAGCTCCAAGCCTACAAGAAGCAGACCGTGTTTTTGACACATTTAACGACCAAAACGCTCCCTAAAGGTCTTCATTGCCTTCCCTTACGCCTTGCAGTTGAGTACTTTAACTTAAATTCATCCGAAAGACAGTTTCCAAACCAAGAGAAACTAGAAGACCCCTGGCTGTACCACTATGCACTATTCTCAGATAACTTATTGGCAGCAGCAGTTGTTGTAAACTCGACTGTTTCCAATGCCAAGGTAAATGATCTATTAACCCATGAAATCGTTACATGCTCATTGTTATCTTCAAGTTTTGAAACATTTTCAATTGTTTATCATGAGAAATCAAAATTTTCAGCTATCAAACAGAGCATCAATCAATCTTATATCCACATTGATGTCTCAAATTTTTCATGTTATTATTGTGTGTTATTCTTGGCAGGACCCTTCAAACCATGTCTTCCACATTGTTACTGATAGACCGAATTTTGCAGCAATGAGCATGTGGTTTCTGGTAAACCCTCCAGGCAAAGCTACTATACAGGTTCAGAATATTGAAGAACTTGCATGGTTAAATTCAAGTTACAGTCCAGTTCTAAGCCGGTTAGATTCTTCATCCATAATGGATTATTACTTGAGGACTTATAGTGCTGATTCTGATTCAAATTCAAAGTTCCGGAACCCAAAGTACCTTTCAAGTTTGAATCATCTTCGCTTTTACCTTCCAGAGATCTTCCCGAATCTCAATAAAATACTGTTTTTAGATGATGATATAGTAGTGCAGAAGGATCTCACTCCTCTTTGGTCTCTTGATATGAAGGGGAAAGTGAATGGTGCAGTTGAGACTTGTGGAGGAACCTTCCACCGCTTCAATCGTTATCTCAACTTTTCAAATCCACTCATTTCTAAAAATTTCGATCCCCTTGCTTGTGCATGGGCATTTGGAATGAATATATTTGATTTGAAGGAATGGAAGAGGCAAAATGTCACAGAGGTGTACCACACATGGCAGAATCTGGTAAGAGTCATCTTATAAGCTTCTTTCTGGTGTACACTTCTCTTTTATGACAACTATAACACCATTTAGAATGAAATCCTTAAAATTGTGACGAATCAAACATAAAACTGAAGCCTGAAACTATACATTCATCATGCAAGAAAAAATCATATGAGAGTTCTGGAGAACTATAATTTGTCCAACCATTTGGGATCATCTGTACAAAAAATTTAACTACGACGCATTATTCAGTTAAAAATCTAGAATGATACTTGTTTATACTTGTCAAAAATGCATAATGCATTTTTGAAACTCAAAAAATGCATTATTCAAAACTCAAAAAAGTACTGCCACATTTTTCCTCTTTCTAATTTGGTTCCGAATGTTTAATTGTGTTAACAATCTTGAGGCAAATTTTGTTTTGTTCGCAGAATCAGGACAGACAGTTGTGGAAGTTGGGAACCCTGCCACCCGGTCTAGTAACATTTTGGAACCGAACTTATCTCCTTGATCATTCTTGGCATGTACTGGGGCTTGGCTACAAACCAAATGTCAGCCAGAAGGATATCAGACAAGCAGCTGTCATACACTACAATGGTGACTTGAAACCATGGCTTGAGATAGGCATATCCGAGTATCGAAGCTACTGGGAAAATTTCATTGATTTTAATCATTTGCTAATGCAAGAGTGCAACATCAATCCTTTAAATGAACCTAAATAGCATATCCAGTTGATAAATATCCTCCACCATTCCTCTCTGGCCATTTGTTTTTCACAGGTTAGTACCACTTTGTTGCATGATACATTGTCATTTTTTACAAATGCTAATTCAGTTATATATATTTGCTGAACTTTGCTTCTTCTTCCTTTATTTTATTTTATTTTATTTTTTCTAATAAAGTCATGTTTTCTATATGTTTGCTCTTGGCAGTTGCATTGTTTGTTATGGATCTGCAAAAGTGCAGTCCTATATGTAAACGATTCGAACCAAGAATTTCTGGTATAATTTATATAATATTTTCTTAGTTTCACTTATCAATTAGGTTTTCATCTGCTGTTGTCTCTCTGCATAAGGAATGCAGTTCATATGAAATCAATCATTCTTTTTCATTTTGCATTTCCACTCAAATGCTTAAAATTTAGAAACAAGTCCATATTGTCATTTGCTGAGACCTGATTCACTTGCAAGAAAATCTGGATCTAGCTTCTGATGGCTACCTACTTCGTCCAATTTCTACTTGAGAGGAAATTTATCTGTTATAATTATTTAGTATTCGTTCCGTTTGTGTTACTCAATTTTAGTATTGTATGCATTGTGTTTATTTAATTTTAGTTATTTATGATTGAGCAATAGATTTCAACTAAGCTACTCAGACAAACTAATATATTTGCTTTTGTTGAATTTAAACTCAGCAGCCAGCTATGGTTGTAACTAACTCAATAGTTGTTCTTTATTTTTCTTTCAGTCTCATGAAAGATTGGGATAAATAATTAATCAAGGAACTGATAGTTACTCTGAGACAATACCAGATATATCCTGCAAGTGCAACTGTTTCTGCAAATGGTCACTGGTTGTTGGACAATTGTTGAGGTTCAAATGGACAAACCAATAATATTTTATATTTAGCCAATACTCCACTCAAAAGCCTTTTTTTCAACTACTTGGGGATTTATCTCGTCAACGAATGGGTTTTTCGTGCTAAAAATCTGATAAAATTACTCCAACAAACTTATTTATTGAAGAAAAGAATAAGAAGGAAGGGTTTCTCACATCTGGCTCAAGAAAAAAAGAAAAAAAAAAAAAAAAATGAGAGTAGGGAAAGAAAAAGATTAAGATGGAGGAGGGACTTGCTAGCCCCTGAAAGTGTATTAAAAAGTTAAACAATTCAACCACACGAGTGCAGGCTGTGGAGCAACAACACATTAATGATATGTTTGACAATATTGAATCGGTGTTTTGGATTTGAGATTGAAAAAAAATTAATACAAATTTTGAATTAAATTTTTTTCAATTATAAATTCAGTGCACTAATTTAATACTTCCAAACATAACATAAGAAAAATAGTACATTTTCTAACTCGAGAATGTGATTCCCATATCGCATGAGTTCACGATAATATCATTTAAGTAGCTCACATCATCAACTCATGTATTCAAAATTAGTATCATTGTTCAAACATGAATTCATTGTTACAAATTGAGGATAAAAGGGGTAACTAAAAGCTCCTTTATTTATTCGAAAAGATTTATTACACTCCATTTCTTAAAAATAATTATCCATTTTTTTTTAAGTCAAAAAAGTATTTTTGTGCTACTTTCACCCTGAAGATAAAAAATAATATCATAAACATCACACATAAATACATATTAATAATTATATTTTAATTATTACACAATATCACCCTAGATAAACCACAAACATTACCACACGTTGATGCTTGTGGGGCGTTTGATGCAGCTGTGGATCGGGACTAGCAATAAATCACCCTTAGATAAGCAGGGGCAATATAGTAATATTGCATGCACTCATATTCTGCAAAATAGAGCGTATATACATTTCCAAGTCCCAATTTAACCAAGGAAAATTAAAGTTCAATCCCCAAACCTGATTTTATACTTCCTCCGGCGAACGCCATAGCCACACATAGTACAGCCTCTTTGTTGAACGTAGTACTGAATATTTTGTTTCAATTACAGGAATCTACAAGAGAAGAAAAGGGTTTTTAAGGTTCTCCTCTCTCTCTCTATATATTATACATATATAATTATCATACATGCATAATTCTGTTCCTGGTAATGTAATAAAGGTTAATTTTTTCACTTGATTTTATCAGAGTGATATAGTGTTAATGTTCTTTGCTATGTCTTAATGCACACAATGTGTTTGTGGAAAACCCTAAGACGAAACTAGTTAGATGCCATGGACCTGTGGAACTAGTGAGCTAAAAGATTGCCAATGGAAATCTTAAGCGTCCAGACATACAAGTAATCAAGTATTTCCAGAAATATGCTATAAAATGTAGTACTGAAAAATGTTTTTTAGAATTATACCAAACATCGTGAAAAATAAGGAAAATTATTCTTCTTTTTTTTCATATAAAAGGTTTTATGATAAAATTTGTTTTACTTTGAAACAATGGAATGTATTATGTATATAATAGTTATGTTCCTTAATTGCTTTTCAATGAGTCATGGATGGCATGCTAATTTTCAGCTTCTCTAACTCATGCCTCTGTTATAGTTATCAAAACGTTAAAACTCTCTCTTTCTCTCTCCTGGAAATTACCAAAATTTAGACACTTGTTACTTACTTACACTCTAGATACACTGTACAGTGTAAAATGCCAAAGCATATAAGATATCAACCGGCCTAGCTGGTGAAATCCTTGTGTAGATTGTAGCCGTATCACATACATGGAATTGAACCCTAAACTCACCAGGGTTTGGACGGTTTATGGGTAACAGAGAGAGCTGTTCCCATTGAATATTCCAACCGTTTGACAAAAAGAAAAAAAGAAGAAGATAAACTCCAAAGCTGAACACTCTTACTCTTCTCTACTTGAAGCTTATTTATCATCTATTGAGCAACAAACAGTGTTGGACCTTAGTTATTTTTGGTCAAAACAATTCACCCCTTAAAGGCCATGTCATTACTCATTATTTTTTCAGGCCTTCTTATACTGTCAAGGTCTAGATGAGAGGGAGGAAAATGGCTGCGATCTTCAATTGTCAACATCTCTCTCTCCCCTTCTCTTTTTCCCGCAGTTTGTAGAACAATACAAGTAAAATAGTAATTTGACTAATCAATCTTTTAAATTCTGACACCAGATTTCCAACATTTGGTGTATTTTGGGGGAACAGAAAGTATACAGACACATTTTCGGATAAATGCTCCTGCAGTTTCCAGCAATACCTATTGCTCCATGGAATCCATCTCAGAGGGGTTAGCTTCGTCTTATTACTTTTTCATATTTTACCTATAATTTGACCAGGACATTTATCGACACAGATACGGATCTGTGTTACAGAGACTTCAAATAAAAATGAGCTGTGAGCCTGGTTATGGGTTTGGATGCCCAACATAATATATGTAACACTTACATTTGGTGTGTCCAACACCAATCTATAAGGACTTATTTTGTGTTTTTTTTTTGGTTGTGTATGTGTGTGTTATGTAGTATATTTTTTCACGGAAATATTAGCTATTAATCTGGTTTCTAACTTTCAGGTGTTTGCCTTGGAGGAGTGGATTGTAAGAGGTCTCAGTTACCAGCTTCAAGGTCATGTTTTCTTGGGCTGAAGGTTTCCTTTCTCTTCTTTTTGTAATATCTTTTTCTCTGTTCTTGATCTTTTCTTTTCTTTTCTTTTTTGGCTTGTTTTCTGTTTGTCCACTTTTTGGATGTCAAGCTACAAAACATATGTGCAGAGTACGATGTATGATTATATCTATGGCACTTCAGAGTTCAGATAACCTTTTTGAGTTCCCTGTGTAATTGCTGCAATCTCTTCTTTAACTTGTGTTATCTAATCTCCTAAAACAACAAACCAAACCAACCTGTATTTGAAAGTTGATATTGTTCAGTAACACTAAAATAATGTTATAGTGAACATTTGTAAGTGGCCAATTACATGGCTACTGAGTTTTTTGAATCATTTCACAGATGGACTTCTTGAATGTTTCCTTGTGGTGAAGCTGAACCATCAAAATTGTTGCAATTCATTTTCATTCTTTTTGAAGGTACTCGGATGAAGTTAATAAATCATTAGTTAGTCATCCCATCACATGTCATCCAGCTAGTACTTCGAAGTCCAATCTCCTGCATTCCCTTGAATAATAAATCCTATCATCTCAGCTGCTCCGACACTAGGTTGAACTGGCGCGGGAGTGAAGCCTTCTTCAGCAGCTAAACCTCTCTCATAAATCTTTGTGTAATGCATTTTAGTACATTCTTGACTTTTGGACCAGTCTTCTTATTTTGAAACATAACTTTGATCCCTTTTGGGACAGTTGGAAGAGGAATATACTCCTTTTTCTGCTTTAAGTTTTCAGAAGTATATAGACCTGGTAGACCTATATTGTCTTGTTAGTTCCTTCTATAATTACTTAATCTGAACATTGATTTTTACTATTATCAGAACCTTGGCAATATTAAATTGGGAGAATCTGCAAAGATCATGTTGGTAGCATTGTATAAACTTTGTAAGTCTTGCAAGCACAACTAATCCTCTCGTGCTGAGTCTTGCTTTAGAAGGGGTCTTAAATTCTGCAAATTTCACTATTTCAGTATCAACTTCAAGAGGTTGTGGAATTTGCAGATTCTATTACCAAGGAATGGAATGCAAATAGAATAGAGGGTCATTGCAATGTCATCACATTTAGGAATTGGATGATTATAATTAATTCCATTTAATGATTTAGGGATCACATATCGTAGCCAAGTGATACCACAAGTTTGGAGGACTGCTTTGTGCGAACTCCATGCTTCATGATGTGTGTGTTGGGGGGAGGGGGGGAGCGGACTTTGTGTTCTTTTGTTCTTTACATTCTTCTTGAAGCAGATACGTAATTCTCTTTATCTATTCAATGAAGTTGTAAATAAAAGTTGTTCGCAGTTATTTTTATTTTTTTCTTTTTTCTATGTCCACGGCTCATGAGTGATTTCCATCATGAATCGATAATGTCCTTCCATTGTACTTTGCTTAAATTCTACTTCCTCTTGCCAGTTTTCATTGTGGTACCGGTTGAGGTTGCTTTGAAGTATTTGGCAGTTAATTCTTTTTAGCTGATAGAGAGTGCTATTTTCTTTTTTGGTGTCTGCTAATTTATTTATTTTTTGTCCTGCACCCTTGTGTATTCACAGATCGCTGTTTTGGAGGCTAACGCTTTTCGCTTAATTGCAGTTTGAGTATGAACGGCTTCATACCTATGTGCCAACGACTTCAGGGGCCTTTGTTTGCGCTGGCCAGAGGCCTCCTCGATATCATACCAAAAAGAAGCAGGTGGTACATCCTCAAAATGTGGATCTTCCCCCCATCCTTCCCAAAAAAAAGAAGAAACCTTATCCAATTCCTTTGAAGAAGATCCAGCAGGTAGCAAGGGCCAACAAAAAACTTGCAGAAATGGGAATAGAGAAGCCTCTTGAGCCTCCTAAAAATGGACTACTTGTACCTGATCTTATTCCAGTTGCTTATGAAGTGTTAGATGCTTGGAAAATACTAATTAAGGGACTTGCACAGCTTTTGCACATAGTTCCCGTCTATGCTTGCAGGTAACTTTTATTAAATTTGTACTTGTTACAGTACTCGTTACGTTTTTGCAGCCCTGTCCTACTCACTCCTGTAGAATGTCTGTCAAGCCTATATATTTCGGAGAAGTAATATGTCGTGGTGGTCCTGCAGCGAGTGCTCGGGAGTTCATGTGGCCCATGCAGGTCACAGCATTCAGGATTGCCATGGTCCGACTGGTGCGCAGCGCAGAAGCTATCACTCATGGGTGAAGGGTTCCATTAATGATGTACTTCTTCCTATTGAGTCATACCATATGTATGATCCTTTTGGACGGCGCATTAAGCATGAGAGTAGGTTCGACTATGACAGAATTCCAGCAGTTGTGGAGCTATGCATCCAAGCTGGTGTTGATTTACCAGAATATCCTTCGCGGCGAAGGACTGAACCTGTCCGAATGATTGGAAGAAAAGTGATAGACCGAGGTGGATTTGTTGACCCTCCTAAACCGTGTCACTCTGAGGATTCAGCTTCATCACTTTTGGATCTTGACACGCACAGGGCTTTTGAGCGATTCTCCGCTCCTAAAATGTCAGAGGTTCCAACTATTGCTAAGGAGACCATTATTGCATACGAGAAAGTGAGATGGGGTGTGACTAAGTTGATGAGGAAGTACACAGTGAAGGCTTGTGGGTATTGCTCGGAAGTTCACGTTGGGCCTTGGGGTCATAATGCTAAGCTTTGTGGGGAATTCAAGCATCAGTGGAGGGATGGGAAGCATGGTTGGCAGGACGCGACGGTGGATGAAGTGTTTCCCCCTAATTATGTATGGCATGTTCAGGATCCAGAAGGACCTCCATTGAGGAGCGCATTGAAGAGGTTCTATGGGAAGGTTCCTGCTGTGGTAGAAGTGTGCATGCAGGCGGGTGCACAAATACCTAACAAGTACAAACCTATGATGAGGCTTGACATTGTCGTCCCAGAGAGTGAGGAGGCGTTCTTAGTTGCATGATGAGGTTTGTCAAGATTATATAGGCTTTATATGTGCAGCATTTAAAACTTTCAAGAGTATATTCACATTTGATGTACAGCTTTCTGTATGTAACTGCTCAAACCTCCAAATTTGAAGGGTAGTACTATATATGCCTTGTGTTTGAAGTATGGCTAGAGGTTTTAGTGTTTTACTCTCCGGATAACATTTGGCAAATGATTTATACAATCTACTCTTTGATGGATTTGGTAGAGATTTTTTTTTTTTTTTTTTGGGCAAACTAGGGGAGTGGGGAATTGAATACAAGCACACCGCCCGTGGAGCTGAGCATTCTACTAACTTTTTCTTCGAAACATCGACTGAAGGATCAACTTTTGTCTTATGACCTATCGTTGAGGCCACATGAATTGATTGTAAATTGACCTCTTTATATTCAACTTCAAATTAGAACTTCCACATCATTTTTATTTTTTCTTTAATCAACCATAGAGAAGGAATCATAATCTAAGACATCAATATCAATAATATTTTATGATTTCTTTAGAAGGGAATCGAATGACGTGATGGGTAAACTTCAATGCTCCCAGACGTTCGAGGTCTTCATAGGGAAATAAATGTACGCAAGTTCCATGGACTCTTTAGTGTCACCTTCGTTCAATTGCAAAAAATAAAAGTGTGCTAATTATATTCTTTGAATCATCTACCTTTTTAAATAAGAAAAAAATAATAATTTATTCTTGGAAATAACTCATACTTTTTACTACTGAATCTTTGTGATCTAAATTGATTATATATATATATATATATATATATATAAAATTATATATCATGGATTTTTTTATTTTTAAAAAGTATTATCATATCGTTGTATTCAAGTTGTCTTGTATTCATATTTTATATTCAGGTCGTATTCATTTTGTATGGGTGTGAGATACTAGTCAGAACCTGCTATTCAGGTGTCTCACACGCTGGATAGATTGGAGGAAGCAAATTCCTAAAGAGGGAGTGAAAAAAGCTATTATGATTAGGCAAAGACTATTGAAAGTGAATAATGGGATAGAATCGAAGTTGGAAGAAAGAAAAAGTAAGAAGTAGAAGAGAAATGAGCCCTTTTTGGGTGATTAGACTTGGTCAAAATGAACAACCTTTTGTACGCAACTGAAGCTCACTCATGGGGTGAAGTTTCCATCTTGGTTTGTGGACACCACAAACCTTTTCTCTTTCTCTTCTTTTCATGGCCATTGGAACACTACTGGATTAAGAGGATTCATATGCTATAGATTATAGTCTTTTCCCATTTACCACTTTTGAAGGAAAGATTCGCCCAACTCTCGAATGCTGTCAACAATGTGCTTTAACAGGGATTGAATGTCCGGCAGCGGTAAGTTTGTGGGCGGGTGTGTCGTGGGCAGGTGCGAGCCACTGATAGACTATTACATGACTTATGGGTGTTATTTTCAATTAGTAAGAGGTCTTTTGGAATAAAGCTCACTAACAAAACCCGTGTAGACTCAAACTCAAAATGGACAATATCATATCATTATGCATATCATGTGATGGAGTGAACTGTTATAAATGGTATCAGAACCTGACCCAACCGAAAGTGTGACCAACGATAACGTTGGCCCCGAAGGGAGTGATATTGATATTCCATAGAGAACAAAACAAAAAAATGGTCCTAGATTATTTTTTTTTATTATTTTTTTTTATGTCTTTGAAAGAATATTATTTTTTCCCTTTTCCTTTCCCCTCCTTCTAAGCCGATGGAATGCAACGACTCGAAGTAAAGTATTAATGGCGCCGACGCCTACTCAGTAAGTTTGCTTTTGGGTGCCTTGTGCTGTGTGGGCAAACTTAATCCCACCATAAGTCTCCCCATCATCATTATTGATGATGCCGAAATCAAATTTTGAAATTCGAATTTAACGGTTCTCTCTTTCCCTTCTCATTGCTTTTCCCTTTTCTCTCTCTAACTTCTTTTTTAATAAATAGAATACAAATATCGACCTGCTTTAGCATATCAAAGTCATTTTTTGCGGCTTTTGTTTTTTTGCATTGGCTCTCATTTTGCTTTGCATTCTGTTCCAACAAAAGCACCCAAGCAAATTAGCAACTCCTTTGATGGCCAAATAGAAAAATGAGCATACCCTTCAAATATCAGTCCATCATTTTGCTTAATTTGTCCCATATTTTTAGAATTATGTCTCTTAAGTCATCGTTGCATTTTACGAGTTAAAAAAGAACTAGTACTAGTAAAGGCATGGTTTGTTCAAACTTGTTAACTGTGTGTAATACACACATTCAAACAGTGAAATGACACAGAATAATACTATTCATGGTAAAACATTAGTCCTAAATAACGTACACAAGGCAATATTCTCGATAGTCAATACATACATGAGTGTGTCAAAAATAAAAATAAAAAATTACATTAAGTATGAGTCTCACAAAATGTCATTGTCTTCTCTTGATTATTTTTATGTTGTATCAATTAATTGTCTTTTGTGTGTCTGTTCGGAAGCATTTTTATAAACGAATAAATTTACAATGCTATCTTATAATCCATGCATTTAAAAAATGAACCATATTATTACTTTTTTTTTTTCCTAATTCATTTATTATTACTGTTGCCGAAAGAGAAGGATAAAAATCCTCTTTAATCACATTTTTTGCGGTTCTACCTATAGGTGAATTTCGCTACTATAAAAATGAAATCTCACAAGTTAAGTTAAATTTCGTTACTATTTGCTTGCCGGTAAAATTTTACCATTGTACAGTCATCTGTCATCAAAGATGCAGTAACTATGTATGTGCCTGGGTGTGTATACTACTCTGTGTGTGTGTGTGTGTATATATATATATATATTTATGCTTGGAGTGACGAAAGCAGCTCCCTCCAAGCAGAAAATTTCTAGAGATCTCTGAAGGCTGTTTGTCTCCTCAGTTAATTACAAAATAGTATTAATTAATCCGTGCATAAAATGATTGGAAACAGAATAATCTCATTAATAAATATAACAATAGTAGTAAATTAGATTAAGAGATAAATATAAACATATATATATATAGAGAGAGAGAGAGAGAGGCTACTCCTCATAGGCAAAAATGGTAGGAGGAGCTTCAACAAAACTGAAAAAAGCAGCATGTAAAATCCTGAAAACAACATGCGCTTCTTTCTCATGCAGACAACCCCTTGTCATCGACACTGCCATTACTGTAAGATCTCTCTCTCTCACTATCTTATCTTCATGCTATTTTAATATATTCTACTTCTTATGGGAAAAAAAATAAAAATCACTACTTTCTTACATTTCCTTTCAAGGAAAAACCAGAGAATGATGGAAATATTGATACTTCCTAACCCATTAACAAAACCAGAAAGAGAAAGGAATGGCGTGATTTGTTTAAAAAAAATGGTATTTCCTTATGGTTCAAAATCATCAAACAATGTTTTCCCTTTCCTTCCACCATTTCCCTTTTCCCCATTAGCTCTGATATAGAACCATTGTGGAAAAATGGTTATTTCCTAATTGTTCAAAATCATCAAACACTGTTTCCCCTTTCCTTCCAGCATTTCCCTTTTTCCCTATTTTGTTATTCCCATTGGCTCTTATTATGAACCATCTCTTCTCTCTCTGGTATCTGTCCAACAAAATATGTGTTTCTCTCTGTCTATTCTGTCTTCCAATTCACAGCTTTCTACATATTTTTTTCTTTTTCCAAATTATTTAGTTATTTGAAGCCAAATGTCCAAGCTCTTAGTTATTCCCAAGTTTCCAAGTCCTCTTTACTTTTCCTTCTTCTTTTTTTTCCCCTTTTTTCAATCCTTATAGATTTTGATTCAGTGGAGGAAAACCATTGTTTTGTTTTTTGCAGATTTCCTCAGATTCAATGGACAATCATTCTCCAAAGCCAAGGACAAGTACTGATAAATTTTCAGAAATTGCTTCCACTTCTACCAAGGTAGTATTTCCAAATTACCTTTGTCCTCTCTCACCTTACAAGTTACTGCAAATAACAATAAGATAACCTAATTAGGCTTTTTATTTCTAGTCTGGTTTCAAATGCTTAGCCTTTTCTTTTCTATAACCCCAATCATGGAACATTCACATAGCACAAACAAATTGGATGGAGCCTATTCACACACATTTCACTGTTGTTTGAGGAGCACCCTTTGTGCCTATTTTGAGCTCAATTTCCAGCCAGAGCTTCTTCCCCCTAATACAGCATTACATTTGTCTTAGCATGTGATTGATGCTTGTGTTAATCCTTGGTCTTACGGCATGATAAGCATGTGCATTAGCAAAGGATCCCCTGTTATACAGACCCTCACCACGAAATAGAAGATTCCACCTTGAAAATTCATTGGGTTTTTTAAATAGAACTTTAATTTTAGAATTTCTGCGGGGTTCTTTAGAAATTGCAATTCTTTTCTTAAAAAAAAAAGAAATCGGCAGGTCTTACGTTTGTTCTCATTTTTTGTCATGTAAACCTCCTAGCTAATGTTCATTTTAGTCTCAGATTCAGAATGATCTCTTTGATTGGATATAAACAGTGTGTCATCCACTCAAGACATTATATATGAAGCATGTCCATTAGTAGTGTGTCTCAGTGTCTGTATCCATATATTGAGGAAGAGAACGGTATGTGGATTTAGCGTTGCAGATTTATGGCATATCCTTTAACACATTGCATTTTTTAACATGTTCGATTGTTAAACAACCCACTTGAGCCTACTCAATTAATTACTGCACCTACTCCAAGGGCAGAAAAACATTACGTGAATCACCATGTTATACAGAAAGCAAATGTGAATGTGCACCACTTGCTCTAGAATGTGAATGGATTGGGGTAATCTTTGTTATAGAAGAATGATGTAGGACTGGTTCTCCTTTTAACTTGCAGAACAACAATATGACACTATTGTTGTAATCTGTTTACTGCCCAGTCCTATTTTGTATTTTGGTTGCTATGTTTTGTTTTTAGGTTTCAATTTATTTGCTTTAATACCTTGCCAGGAAAAAGAATATAACCAATGAAATTACTTTCTATAAACTAATTTTGCAGCATAATTGTACAATGTGCTATCTTCCTCTATTAATTACTTCAACACGTCTGCTGCTGGTAATGCTTCTGAGTGAGTTTTACAGTTTCATTTTGAAGGCCTAATGGTTTTTTTCATTTTTTTTCTCTTGTGGCAGAATTTGTGCGCCATATGTCTTGATCCTCTAAGTTATGGCACAGGTGCCAGCCCAGGCCAAGCTATATTCATAGCACAGTGCTCTCACGCATTCCACTTTGCGTGCATCTCCTCCAATGTCCGCCATGGCAGTGTCACCTGCCCTATTTGCCGTGCACATTGGACCAAGCTGCCTCGTAACCTAAACACACCTGGCTCCCTTTCTTGCAACACAACTGACCCCATTCTCCAGATACTGGATGACTCCATTGCCACTTTCCGTGTCCATAGACGCTCCTTTCTACGTTCTGCCCGCTATGATGATGACGACCCTATTGAGCCTGACCACGCACCTAATCATACCCGTCTCCATCTCACTCTCATACCTGCCCCACTCACTCATCAAAGCTTCCATCCATGCTCAAATCAAGCTTTGCAGGTCAATGGGCCCAATTCATACCATCCGTGTGGGATTTCATCACTGCAGCACTTAAGCAGCTCATCATCATTATTAGCAGCACCACAACATTTTGCACCAAATGGGCAAACACCTTACCTGTCCAGCTCAAATAGTAGAGCTTATCTCTCTGTAACATTAGCACATCAGCAAGCAACTGACTTGGTCTTAGTTGCAAGCCCCAATGGGCCTCACCTGAGACTTATAAAGCAATCCATGGCACTAGTGGTTTTCTCACTTAGACCCATTGATCGTTTGGCCATTGTCACCTACTCGTCTGCTGCAGAACGGGTCTTCCCCCTCAGGCGCATGACATCCTATGGGAAGCGAACAGCACTACAAGTCATTGATCGCCTTCTCTACACAGGACAAGCAGATCCAACTGGGGGGCTCAGGAAAGGAATAAAGGTACTTGGAGATCGCGCCCACAAAAATCCACAATCCTGCATTCTGCATTTGTCTGACAATCCAACAGCATATTATTACATGGACATGGAAGTTCCCTTTCCAGTTCATCAGTTTTATGTAGGATTCGGATTTGGCAATTCTAGTGGATTTGTCATGCATGAATTTGAGGAGTTCCTTGCCAGAGTACTTGGAGGCGTGATCAGAGAAATCCAGTTGAGGATTGGAGAGGGGGCTAGAATTGTAAGATTTGAAGAACTGAGAGCTGGTGAGGAGAGGAGGATTCCTATAAATTTGGGCGACTCTAGACGTGTTTGTATGGAGTATAGCTATGTTGAGGGTGGGGTTGAAGAACGCATTAGGACAGGCGAAATTCTGGTGGACATGGAGGATAAAAGAGAAAGTACTACTGATGGTACAGAGGCTGTTGTTACCGCGGGTGGGAGGACTAGCAGTGTTGAGAGCTGGGGTTACCAAGATCCTTGCATGGCTAGAAGATGGGCCAAGCATTTGCATTGGTATAGGCTATGAAGCATCCTGCAAAGGACTATAATGCAAGTTTATACACATCAACCAATTCCCCAGCATTTTAGCTGGCTTGGGAATTGAGATTGCTTTAGGTTTTTCATCATTTAACCAGTGTCTATGCTCAAAGGGCGTGTGTATTCCGTTACATAGACTTGTGTAACAGTTATAGGAAAGATTTGAATTTTTATACTCTATAGTGCATTGCATATCTTTCACTCTATGCTCGCGAATTGGTTCAGTCTTTAGACTTCAAAAGCGATGTTGTGACATTGTTCGATTTGTGAATGAGATGGCAGCTGAATGTTCACATTGTTTTATTTGCATCCATCCATTGTGCTGACCAATAAGTTTGAGCTGAGACAGGTCAGGTTGATGATATAAAACTCAGTTTTGGAAAGTATCGTCGTGAGGATGGTGTTCTACACTTCTACACGTTTGTACCATCTCCCTGTTCAAAGTGAAACAATGAACTCGAACAAATGGGAATGGGTGGAGAGCAAAGAAGAAAAGGCATGACTGTGATAGAATGGAGTTGGAACTATTTGGAATTAAGAAACTAGTGCTATGTGAGGAGGAGTTTTGAAAGGAAATGGAAGTATTTCACTTGGAAAAAAAATAATGTGATTTTTTTGTTTGGCTTAAATAATTGGATTTGGTTAGAATTCTTTAGTTTTTAATGTTTATTGGTTTCTTAACATATCTTTTCTATTTAGTCTTTGTATTACCAAATTAGGGATTTAATTTTAAATCCTTTCAATTATATTCCCCCTTTCCAAAGTCCCCTTCCAATATAATATTTGAAAGAAAATAAATTGAAAAAAACAAATACATTAATAGCTAATATAATCCCAAAATGACTTAACATTTTAACTTTTAAATAAATAAATAAATAACTTAAAAAAAAAACAATATTTTTATTGAGCTATAATAGTTTTTTCGCAACAGAACGACTTACCAAATTAAAGTCAAAAAAGACTCCAAATAAAAACCCACAAGGAATAGCTTGGGCTAAAGCAGTTTTAGGTGCTGTTTGGGAGGGCTTTTCGAGACCCTAAAACGGGCTGTTTGGGAGGGCTTTTAGAACGTTTTGGACCTGAAACGAGAGGACTATCTGCCCCGTCATATTTCCGCTTCGGAGACATCTTCATAACCGCCTACTCTCTGTCCTGCTTGGATCGAGCCTTACGTTTCCAGGAGCTAAACCGCGGACTGGTCGGGTCAGGCTCCGAGGGAAAAGGAGGAACAATACGATGATAAAAGGGATCCAGTCCAGAGGGTGGGAAGTCCACTGGATCACGAGGAGCCCAATCGTTGGGCTCTTGGCCTATGGATATAATCTCAATTGGATCTGGCCGTGGAACAAAAGATGAATAGGCCGGATTACTCCCAACCACCTTTGGAGTAAAAGAAAGCTGACCTGGAAATAAAATTACAGAAGAAGGCCCAGCCCGTAGCATAGGCTTGGACCGCATGACGATAGGTGTAGCCCCTCCCATAGTACTCACGTGGATCTCACCCACTTCTGAAGTCGTACAATATCGTACTAGAAAGTGAATGATATAAATATGTAATCACCAGCCTAAATAAAAAGAAAGTTGTACCCAATTCTTTAAAGTATAAATTGAATAAATTGATAAGGGTGAATTCCTCACTTCCCCTGTGGTTTCACCTTTCACCCTTAGATGAAAGTTTGATCAAAATGGTGGTCAACCTCCCTGAGGTTTTGAAAAAATCACAAATTTCCCCCTGACCAAAATACCCTCAACTTATGTTCTGCATGTACATGTTTGTTTATATTTATGTACTTACCCTTTTACACTTATTAATATACCACTCCATGGAGGTTGATTTTCTTTTTAATTTTCTAATGGCAAAAAGATTTAGATAACTTTCATTTTCCATCATCTTGCATAAAAATATATATTTACATACATATATATTTATAATTATTGGTTTCTTGTTTTATGGCAAAACTGGTGTATGTTGACTAGATATATTTGTACATGTATTTTATTCTACTAAGATCTATATTTGTTTTGTGGTGAAATTATGGAATTCACTCTTTGTTGCTATATAGAGACGCTTCAGTAATAAAGGGATCTTTTGAGTTGCTTCACCTTTTCTCTTGCACGACAGTGTCTATGTTTAGAGTAATTTTACGGGGCAGGGATAGTTCTCCTAGATCTGCTTTGCGGTGGCTAGGGATGTGTGGACATGTTTGTTACCCCTTTTGGTCAGCTGGGTCTTGCCTGGTTCCGCGTTGAGCATGCTCGAAGCTTGGAATAGGAGTAAATTTCGGAAAGCAAGATATTCTCTTTGTGCTATTCTAAAAATCTTCAAGCATGATGCACTTCGTGGTCTTTCCCTGAGGAATAAACTCAGATAGTTTGTGATGGTCCTAAGCATGTTCGATTTCCATGTACTAGAGGAAGTAACTCTGTACAGGGAACTGTTGACCTGAATCCTCCCCCTAGTATGAAGTGAATTTTGTTTTCATAATTGACATTAAATAGAGATTAAATTAGAATGCGAGTGAGATTTCATAAGAGCCAGGCTTTTGGCCTAGCATAGTAAGGAATTTTTTTAATAAACAATCTCAGCTACGAATCTACAATTACTGTGGGGACGATCTCGACAATCGTCAAGAAAAAGGCATCAATCTTGGTAAATTTGTGTTGCATGTAATTAGGAAAAAAAAGAGGTGGTGTTGCATGTGCAAGAGGGATGAGGAGTTGATTGATGATCTTGTTGGAAATGGCATTAGAAAACGCAAACTTTGGAAGGATTTTTAAAAGATTCCGCTAAGAATTTTTTGCGAATCTATTGACGAGCGCGTTCCTCTCTGCGATGAGATGAACGTGGTATATTTATTTTCTCAAATCCGTTTCCGGGTGAATGAGAAATTGGCTCCAAAGTAAGTGATTTATAAAGCCTAAATGGGTGTGAATAAAGTGGGAAATGCTTGTCCCACATCGAAAAAGTAGCAAAGCAACCTTGAGTATATATATGTCTAGTATGGGATTTGGGTTTGGGCCCAAGGGCACCCAAGTTTTTAAGAGGGGGACGACCTAGGCTAGCCTGGATCCGAACCAACTACCACGCGCAACCCGATCCGGGCTTGGGCGGGGCGGGGCTTAATTGTAAAATAGGTCTAACCTTTTTACACAAAGTTGGACTGGGCCTGTGTGGTTATTTTATTTACTGGACTTATTTAAGTGGGCTTGCGGGTGGAGCACGCTGGGCTGGGCTGCCGAAGTTTGCTTGCTGGGCTTAATCTGTTTTGGGTTTAAATTCAAATCAAAAACTGTTTTTTTTTTTTAACCAAGGGTTGCACCCTTTACAAATTAAAAACCACCAACAGATTTTAATTTGGATTGGTCAACAATGGTTGCACCCATTCGGACTATAGGTGCACCCATTCAGATTAGGCACCAACAAGCCTATAAATACCCATCATTGGGTTCATTTCAATTCACACCAATTCAGAAATCTTCTTCTCTTCTTCTGAATTTCTTCTTCTAATTCTTCTTTGTTCGGTTCAGCCACTGGTTTGGGTTCAACCTAAACTGGTTTGGATTGGGTTCGAACTTTGGTTTCCAAGTTTGGATTCAATCTTGGTCTCCGAGTTAGGGTTTAATCCTGGTCTCCGAGTCTGAGTTCAACAGAGAGTACTACACCGAGCCGGTTCGCCTATTCCATTGGTTTGAAGTGCTACTACCAAAGGAAGAAAAGTCGTTGTATCCTAGGAGATAGACGCCGAAGAGTCCGTTAGCACCGTAGCGGGGCGTATCTGTCTTAAGGCTATAGAATTAAAATCTAGCCTCGACTTTATCAGGTTCTTTTATAGTTTTATTTTCTTGATATTAAACTATATAAATATATATATAGATTATTATAATAAATATTATATTTACAAATAATATTTAAATAAATTATACTATAGTATATGATACATTATTTTATCAACAATCTTAAGACAGATAACTTTATACTATAGTAATAATTATTTAATTATTATTGTTGTTATAATTATTATAATTTGACTCGTGGTCTGTATATCAATATATAACAGACAAATGGCAAGTACGAGTATTACCATGCCTAATGTTCCCGTCAGTCATGGGGAGAAGCCCGAAAAATTTAACGGGACGGAGTTTAAAAGGTGGCAACAGAAAATGATGTTCTACCTTACAACTCTGAATCTAAGCAAGTATCTGACTGAGACTGCTACAGTGTTAGATGAGGGTGATACAGACATTACCAAGCTTAGAGCTGTTGATACATGGAAGCATGGAGACTTCCTATGCAAGAACTACATCCTCAATGGATTGGACAACACCTTATATAATGTGTACAGTCCAATAAATACTGCTAAAGAGCTTTGGGAGTCGTTAGACAAAAAGTATAAAACAGAGGATGCTGGCTTGAAGAAATTCGTGGTTGGACGATTTCTGGACTTCAAAATGATAGACTCCAAGACAGTCGTGAGCCAAGTGCAGGAGCTCCAGCTGATCCTACATGAGATACATGCTGACAAGATGACATTGAGTGAATCCTTTCAAGTAGCTTCAATCATTGAAAAGCTGCCACCTACTTGGAAAGATTTCAAAAATTACTTGAAGCATAAGCGCAAGGAAATGGGGCTCGAAGACTTAATTGTCAGGCTGAGAATTGAAGAAGATAACCGTACATCTGAAAAGAGAGCCGGAAATTCTTCAATGGTGTCAAAGGCAAATGTAGTGGAAGTAGGACAGAAAAATAAGAAGAGGAAGCACTCTAGAGAAGGTCCTAGCCAAGGAAACTACAAGAAGTTCACTGGGAAGTGTTTCATATGCGGCAAGCTAGGACACCTAGCTAAAGATTGTCGTAGCCGCAAAACACATCATAACCCCAAGAATAAGACCACTGAGGTGCACATAGCTGAAGAAGATAAGTTGACAGCTGATGTATCAGAGTTAAATCTTTCAGCTGTGGTTTCTGAAATCAACCTGGTAAGCAACAACAGAGAATGGTGGGTGGACACAGGAGCTACTCGTCATGTTTGCTCTGAAAAGAGGATGTTCACTACCTATGAAACTATAAATAATGAAGAACAACTCTACATGGGGAATTCTTCTACTGCAAAGGTTGAAGGACAAGGAAAGATCAAGCTACTAATGACCTCAGGGAAAGAGCTCACTCTTAATAAT